ACAATCGCACCTCGAGGGCGCGTTTCGCGACGCCTTTTCGCTTCCGCGTCTGCGCATGCGGGCGGCTTTTACAGAGGTTAACTTGCGTAACCAGGGCCAATGAGTGGCGCTGCAGAGAGGAATACGTTATGAGGTGCGCGTGGAGAAATGAGCAGCTGAACACCTGATAAAGGGCTTCACCCTGCGGTTCAAAGGAACTGAAGTTGACTTTCTCAAAGCTTTAGACCATAGGGACAGAAAACACAAAATCTACAATAAAGGGGTGGAAATAGTCGGAAGGAGGTTATCTCAAAGTCCCTAGATGTTTTTTTTTCTATTTTACTCAAGTACTGACAACGGCTTCCTCTACAAGCGCTCTCTGACGCGCGGCCGGGTCTGCCGCCATTTTATTTCTGACTTGGAAGATTTACAAAGCTATACCTATGTCTATGTACGTTAGCCACGCATCTTTCAGTGGACAATACGCTAACGTGACGCGCCTTCCTCCCATCAATTTCCCGTCGTTAGCGCGCTGTGAACGCGTTTAACCAGGTGCTGCACTACGTCATGGCTATACAAAAAACGACCGTTAGCCAACGCGATTCGTCGGTGGTGCTTCAATGGTTGTTGGTACATACGAAGGAAGAGGGAAAAATTGAGGGACATTAGGCTATATATTGGCGACTAAAGTCAAGGTAGGATTGAAATTTAGTTAGGCACTGCGCCGTGCTCCCGACCGGGTTGCAGAAATCAGGTGCCTTTTCTCATCTTCTAACCACTACCACCACCACCACCAAATTTAGCCATTCACTTTTCCTCTAGCCCTTCAGGCTTTCCAATGCAACGAGTGCAGCAAGTGCTACACAAAGAACAAAGAGGAGATATTTTGTATGTGACACTTGAAAGCTATACGTCACTTGAAGGAGGAGGTGGAGAAGGAATGGGAGGAAAGTCGACGAGGTGAACCACAAACGAGTCTGGTTTGTTATCCTGCACAGAGGAAAGAAATTAAGGGATAAAAAAATGAAAGAAGGGAGCATAAAGGGCTATCGGCGTGAAATATGCGCGTTTGTGCAGTATATACATGCCAACAATTCATCACGGCGGTCAACTTTGAACAGAGTGGCAACGCTCGCGTCAGTTTGCTGGACTGCGACGCTGCAGGGCCACTGTCACATCAAGTTTTCCACTGAAGACAGTCTATGTTCGAGACAGCTCAACGCGCAGCGTGAACGTCGCTTTCTGTGACAAAATCAATCTGGGAAACACGACATGTGTTGTATCGTCACGTCGAATTTTCAAGTCACATCTTGTCATTCTTATGCGAAAAAACAAAATACCTTTAGTAAAACTACACCTAACAACCGAGGGCGCACTAAAATTGCATCACGAGACTATGGATGCGACGGCGTTTGAAGATTTGTAGATGAAACCAGAAACAAGAAACAAAAACAGTTTTCGGATGAAAGAATCGAGTCAGCGATACCCACACATTTTATGTGCCGGTTTCGTTCGTGTCAAAGCGAGAGCGAACTGCGGATACACACAGTATAACCTTGCGCGCGAGATCGCCGCTCACAATGGCCGTCATGCGAAGAGGCGCGAGTCTTTTCTTTTTCGGCGGCGGCACATACGGACGGCTGACACACGAGACCACTCCCGTGTAGGTGTCCGCGTCTTTGTCGCCGAGGGTGCGTCACGCATGGAGTCCGGAGAAAACGACGGAGGCGCGCGCAGAATGGGCGCCTCACCACGCGGATCTCTGATCGCATTGTCAGTCATACGGCGCCGCGGGTTTCCCAGTATGCATACGCGTACTTGGGTGTGCGGCGAGTATACCGTATAAGCAATGGCGCCTTGAGTGGGCGTGCCCGTACCGCCGACTGCCTCGTCGTCTTATGCGCAGGGTCGCCTATCCAACGACATGCATCGCGGAGCAGCTGCGCCGAGCAAGCGCGCACAACAAAGCGCTTCCTTCAGGAGAGCCGGCGCCTAATAAGAGGACAAGAAGCCGAAGAAGACGCTGTAAAGTAACACAAAATCAGTTAAGAGTGAAAAGGCAGTCTGTCAGAATTACTTTTATTCGCTTGGCTTGCAAAAGGGGGAAAAAAGTCACTTGAATACTTCGCATTTGCCTGACTTGAAAGCGAAAGCAATCTCTTCATAGATTACACTAAGACCTAAAGTTGCATCCGACTATAGTCTGCACTGCAGGCTTACTGACCGTATACGTGTCAAAGCAAAAGCAGAGTATGAAAGCACAGTGCTGAAATGCCTCGCAATATATTTATGCTGTTTTCTCGCGATATGTTTATTCTGTTCGCGTCATGGCTAACTCGCATTCTACGAAGTATCGTAACTTCAAACGAATGGGTTGAAAACAAAAATACAGCTGCCAATGCGCATACTTTTCGAAACAACAGTGGAGAGGCACGCCTGCTCGCCGGGTAGGAATCCTCGCACCTTTATTGCGTTGCCCGTTGAGTCTTTGCTTCCGATCGTCGTACGATGTTCTTTAAGATGGTATATTGTGGGGGACGTTTCGAATGAATAATTCATCGACGTTAACAGTGAGGGCGTCGTCATACGCGCGGTCGTTCGCGAACGTTCTATGAAGCACTCTAGATGGAGAGCCATCGTTGCGCCCACAGCTCACAGAAGCACCCGCGGCGCGCACAAATCGACGCCCGAATAGCCCTCTCGGAACCCCCAAAAAGCAGGGTCACGCGGCATGGTGTACGCGCAATGCTCGCTATATATTGAGCGTGAGATGCCCCGTACCCTTCGCTGAGTGAGGCAGAACCGATGTATGCATCGCCGATGATCGCCGGCAGAACAATGGGCGCTGCGCCCATGGGTTTCGGTGGCGTCACCAACACGGGAGAAGCCGCCTGCATGCTCCCAGCAGTGCGAGAATCAATTGCCGATGCTCGACTCGTATACTCACTCACACACACAATCGCCGAGGCGGCTTTGCCATTAAGCGTATATTGCCGCCGTATAATACTTGCCACGACCCCGCGCTGTCTGGCACGGCTTGAAGAAATCCCTCGCCGCCTAACCCGAAGGGCTGTTTTTTACGACGGCCTCCCGCCGACGAATCTTGATGTCGCCATAGCTGCTTGTTTCGGTGGCCAAGTTCGTCTCTCTTCTTTCTTTCGAACCACTTCGCTTCTTTTTTATACTGTATATCCACGATGAGAACAGGAGAGCGACCTTTGAAGAGAGATAGCGTCGACGCCATTCCCCCTTTTCGGAAACTTTTCTTGCATCTTTTTTTTTCTCTATCTCTGCTACCTTTCGTCCGATCGAGCCGCGCATTTCTTGCTCTGCGCGCGAGCATTACAGGAAGGTCGAGTTTAATGTCCCGCCGACAAAAACAGTGGCGCCGCTTTCTTTTTACTTTCTTGTCTTTTTTTTAAAGACGTATTTCAGCCTATACAAGTTGCCATATAGTGCCTGCCCTTAATCGTCTTTGCCACTTTGAAGTGCTGCTTATACGGTAGCTGGGCTTTGAATGCGTGCGATCGAGGCAATGGACGGAAGCTGTCGGAAAACAGCGGCAGCCGATTTATGGTAGTTTGGGGTAGCTTCTCATGCGCGCCCCGATATCAGGGAATGACCCGACCCGTTTCGCGGTGAGCTATATACTCGTTGGTGGCGGAGGTATCAGACATCCCGAGCGGCTCTGTGTAAGCAGCAAAGCTTGGTGGATTTTTGCGCGGAGTTTACGCGCATGGAAGCAATCAAAAAGAGCGAACCTACGCGAGTTTTTGCACACGTGAGTGTAAGGACGGCGTTGTAAAGGCGTGGAACCGAAGCCTCGTTATAGACAAAGAAACGACTTCCTGTGCGTACGGTTTCTTTCTTCGATTATTATTGTTTTGCATGGAACAAAGCGCGCTGGCAAAATTCTGTACTGGACAGCGCATGTAAACGGTTTGTCAACATAATTTAAATCATCAAACCGGTCACTTGCATGATAAAGGACAGGCATGTCACCCCCCATTTTTGCTTGCTTCGCGCAGGAGATTAAATTTTAGTATGTTTATGTTTAAACTATACTTCATGTTTATATAGGGCAAACTATAACAAACGATGCATTATCTTATACAGCGTTGCTGAAACGCGTTGCGTGTATCATACGAATAGTTCCACTTTTTCGTAAAATCCCCACGGAAATATGTGGCAACTATGCGAAAAGTATTAGGATGCTATAGATTTCATAAGGAAACGGATCAAATTACTGGAACTGCATACGGAATTCCTGAGTAGGGAGAAGTTTTATGTGAGCTATAGCACCAAACCGACTCCGGTTTCGATTAGCTTTCTCGGCACGTGTTACATTTGCAACTGCTCAGACTTCAAATATTCGAGTTGGCGAAGCATCATTCCCGAGTGTTACGCCTATATAAGCACCACGATCCGTCTACGCACGTTAGCAAGCACCACGGTCGGGCTGACAGTCAACGTGTAGGCGTCCAAGTCTTGCAAGAGCCCGGGAAGGGCGAAATCAATTTCTCAGTTTTCAGTGCTCTCGCACTTGGTGCTTTCACTGGGCGCTCGTTGATGTGAGAACTGACAGCTCAAATTCGTTATTTGGGTATATTGTTCTATTTCGTGCTTGCCAAGCATGCACCTGCCGTTCTTTGTGAAGGAAAGGAGTGTCAATCGAAAAGTATGGTGGTGGTATATTTGCTGAACATGACACTGACGTGAGTAAGCGAGGTGGTTGCCAGCTCATACGTGTTGCTACCTTGAAAAAGACAAGACAGCTCGTCGAAACGTCGGCGCCTGTGATATCCCGTGTTCAAAAGTGTTCTATCTCTTCAACATAATAACCAACGTGTCACCTTTTCTTATCCAGTTGACAACTTTCTTGGCTGTTTTAGTGCATCAATGTGCACCAGTATGAATTGATGCAACGTCGAATTCTCAGTGATATTATACCGTGAGAATGTCTTAACCTTGCTTCCCCCTCTCTCCTCCTCTGCCTACCTTCCCTTCTTTCGATGCTCCAGGCGTGTGCAGCAACAACACGGCACCCAGCGTGAGCTCCATCAACCGGATCCTTCGCAACCGAGCCGCCGAACGCGCCGCGGCCGAGTTCGCGCGCGCTGCCGGCTACTCCATGTACCACCCTTACGCGGCGGCAGCAGCGGCCACGCTGCCGTGGCCGTCGCCCGCCGCAGCCGCAGCCGCTGCCTGCCGCTGCGGCAGCCGGTGGTCCGGCAGCCGCCGCCCTCTGGTCTCCCTTTCTGGCGGCGCCCGTAGCCGGCAACGGACCGTCACACCACGGTGCCGGCTCGGGAGCCGGCGTCGGCTCCAGTCCCGCCAACTCCAGCCCGGACCCCGCGGCGTTGGCGGCGGCGTTCAGGGCCCGCACGGCCGATGACCGTAAGTACCAAATGAAATTAAATGAAATCAGATCATCTTTATCTTCGCTTTGCCCAGAAACAAAAAGGACTATTTTTTTTTCATAGCAATTACTCAACGCTGTTTTTTAAAGCAGCTCGACTAGATCACAGGCCAGTAGAAAAAATTGCGGGTGGGCACAAAAGAAAAACTGACGAGACCGAAATTGCCCCTGAAAAGTGTATCGAGCAAACGCTTATAATATAATTCGCGCTTGTCCTGTTCGTGCATGTGTATTTTTTTTTACGTTTGGTTTGTTTGCGCGTGTCTCAGTATAGCACTCTGCATTCTCTGCTATTCCGAACATAGCCACGTGCCCTGTAGATCTGAACGCCAGCTGCGAAACTGCAAATTAAGTTGAAGAGATGAAAGTCGATTCTGCGGAATCCTGCTAGGTGGTGGAAGAGAAAAAAAGCGAAGTGGAATAAAGAGAAATAGACAACCACTCGTTTGTATAGTGAGAAGCGAAGTAAATTCGTATGCATGGCATAAGAACTAAGTATACAACGATCTCAACCTGTTTAACAGTTGATGTCATGCCATTTTCCTCGTTAATGAACGTCCATACACAGCCATTTACTGCGGTAATAAAGGACAATATATAGTTTATACTTCATCGAGCTTTATGCTGCGTTTATCGAACCAGCGTCATTCAGTTGAAAGGGTCATAACTGAACCGAGTCGGTATTCCGAAATAGTAATACAGGCCTATGAGAAAATCCCAATGCGTGTGTCTTTGTATGAAGCTTAAGAGAGCAAATCGTTAGACGAGTTGATGGTCCATTATGTAGGACAACAGCGCAACAAAGACAAGGATAGGATGAACACAGAAGAGCACTGAATCTATTGTTCACTTGTTTCTTTTTCTTTCTCGTTATATTCTGCTCTGTTTCGGAAATGAGCTGCAGTTGTATGTTCAGCGCTCGTCTGTGCTCTTCGTATCGCTTGTTTTTTGTTACGCCGTTGCCAGTATAGTCTGCATGAACCTCAGCTTGGGCTAGTTTTTATAGACGTGTGGCTCAAGCACAAAGCACCGCAAGAACAAACAACGAGTTTGCCAGCGTCTTAAAGAAGTACAAAGTTAGAGAGGGTCACCCACGCATAAATTCCGCCTTTTACTCTTGTAGAAAAATGAAAATTTCATGGTTAACGTGCGCGCGAAAAGCGTTCATACAATTTTCGCCGAGTCTCACCGTAGAAGCAAAAAATTAACGAAGCGTCTGCGTGAAAACGGTTCGTGTTAACGCCTGTGTTACGGGACACGTAAACGTGTCGTAAAAAAAAAAAGCGTTTCGTGCGAAGAGGTGTCACCAGAAATGCCGTTTCTCGCACGCGGGGACTGACATTTTTACATTTCGCGAAAACCCAGAAGCCGTTGAGCTGCCACATACTAATTCACTCGCTAATGGCCCCTCTAAAGTGCAGTTCCGTGAAAGGCGGGATCCGATTGCAGGTGTATTTAGCCCCGCGGACGTTTCTTACAGCTTGACTTCTGCCACAAGAATCTCGACCTGCGAAGCCGCAGCTGATGATGACACTTGCGAATCACCCGCCCAGCTTGTTCCTCGCGCACGCCCAGTTTTTACTGGCGTCTTGTCGTTGGTCGTGCTCGGAGTGCACGTGCTGCCGTCGAGGCGAGCGTATAGCAGACTGCACGGTGAAATATGGCGCTTTAAACCCAGTTTCTTCGTCACCCCGTCTAGCTTCAGGGTTGTTCTGTTCGCGCAGACAAAATGGGGCATCGTGATTTTTCCCGAATACAGCCTGTGGAAGCCAACACCCAGCCGTAAACTCACTTGCCTGATGTACGAGCCTGCGTGGGGGAAAATGCGGTTAAGAAGCTGAGAGACCGCAGAAAGAGGCGATTTTCTTTAAGGAAAATGTTTTCCAGCTTGTACCGATGGTAATTCCGAATACCAGCATTGTTCTAAAGACCACTTCTTTATCTATATTACGTTTGTGTGCGTGCATTAAGCACCAAAGTTCATTTGTGCAGTGCCATCTACTGTCACATACACTAAGGTAAAAAAATCCACTTGGCTATTCTTTTTTTCGTTGGCCTGACTTTTTTCTGAGAGTCATGTGCCCCACAAGGGGATCAACCGGACTCATTTAAAGAGAGTCATAAGCGTAGAAAGCCAGGATTACCGGAAAACAGCCACACATACTGTTTTTTTTTTTTTTAGTGTATAGTGCGCAAGCAGCAAAGTTTGGTTACATGCTCAGTTTTGGAGAAGTGACTACAGTAACTTGCACACACACACAGAAGGTAAAAGTTAGGATGGACCACTGCGCAATGCGATTGAAGCGTATAGTATGTTGGCCCAGCACGTGATCAAAATGTCAGAGGCCGCGCTATATAGGTTTCAGTACTGAAGCTGAATTTGTTTCTGAACCTTCTCCTGAGCCAGTCCCTTGTTTGTGGACGAACAAAAGCTTCGATTAAAAGCTACTGGTCACCGAACCACAGAGTATCGGTGAATTGATTGCTTGCGTGGTCTCGACGCTAAAGTTCACCTTTTCGGTCGAGACATACGACTTCACGGAGCTTTCGCTTATCAAGGCTGTTCGTGTGGGACGTACGTGATGCTCCCTGCTAAGTCCTTTTTTTCCCTCCAAGTATGCATGGTATATTCAATGCTTACCCGCCTGAGCGCATGCACGCAGCAGATGTATAGGAAACGTTTCATCTCGCGCGGCCCAACATTTCATTGAGGCTTTCATTATGCCATGCTGGTCGGTCGTGTGCTCTATCATAAACACAACGGCACCTTGCGTCCTCGCCTTCGTGTTTGTAGCGACGTATACCTCGAGAAATTCGGCGCAAAAGATTGACCACTATGTATTCAGGAGACCCGGCGATCACGTGCAAAGAACAAATAACTTAATAGAGTCTAGATTTCACGACGACACGTGCCTGACTTTAACGTTTCCCAGCTTTCATTTCGCGCAACAGTAAGGCAAAGGGCCTTATGAGCACATCACACGAAGCTACTTTATATACGCTTACGTCTTCCTAACAGGCGCCTGACATTGTCGCGCTGAAATTAAACAGGAGCAACACTCCTTGTCGGCTCATGGTGGTGACACACTTCTGCACGGTGACGTCTGAGAAGAAAACTGTATGGGACTCTCGTTAAAGCAAGCAACTGGGACACCCAGTGAAACAGGCGCGTTTCTTTATGGGAGGCACACTTCGTATACCTGGGCAGTGAAAAATAAAAATGAAACTGGAGGCGGTCCTCCGGCGGGCGAACTGGCGCGAATCGTGCCTCCCTTCGGATGTGGCGCGTGCGTGCACGCGCGAATAAAAAAACATGGCTGATGCACGAAAGCGACTCGCTTCGAAGGCGTGGTGCGACCGCCCCGAGCTGAAATTTACGGCGCTCGGCTCTGCTAAGCGAGAGCGCAGTCGTGATCGGCACCACAGCGACGTGACAGACCGCGCGTGACGACTCAGCGACAAGCCTGCCCCTGCGCAGCTCGACGCGAGCCTGCCAACCATGCCGCAACGCTTGAAGTATACACTTGTGCACACACGCCACCAGGGCGGGCGCGTGTTTAGAAAGGCTTACAGAGGCGGGAGGGGTGTGTCTCCCCCCCCCCCCTCCCGTCCTCGCTGGAAACTACGGCGGCGTCGACCCTTAAGCGCGATGACTAGGCGACTTCGGCCAAGTCAATCTGTGCGCGCAGCTGCTGTCAAGCGCGATCACCGGAACACGCGCGAGTCAAATCGAAGTCGTGCGCGCGGCCCAGCTGTGCGCGCGTCGAGGTGAGGCCTTGCGTCGGCAGAGTGTTTGTGCGTGCGTCGCGGTCTTGCCGCGAGGCAGACTGAAACCTGCGCTAACTAACCGATAATAGGCTGCGGAAGAGAAAGCGAACGGACAAAGAGCCAAGAAAGAGTGGAAATGGCTGGGAATGTGTCCGCCGAATGATATACGAGCGACAGTTAATGCAGGGACGTCTATAAGCGGCACAGGAAATACGAAAAAAAAATGGGGGGGGGGGGTTGTTCAGTAAAGCACTATATTGAGAGGCGGGGCTGATCAAGGAAATGGGGAGGCCGCTCGAGGCATTCGAACGTGCGCTGATCGAAGTGACCAGCGCACCGCCGATCGACGCTCATTGGGCCTCTTCCGTGGTCGTATATACCTCAGGGCTCACGCGTTCTTCGCTTTAATTGGGCGACACTGTGACCCATTTGCGACACTATACAACCTCCTCGAGTAAAGAAGCGGTGTTTGTACAGCGCGTGTGTAGTGTGCAATCACACTTGGTACCACGGGTGTGTCGATGAAAAAAAAAAACACGAGTCGGACAGAATTGAGTTATGTTGTGACACGTTCAGTTCTTTATATTCTATTTTACCTTATTCGCGTTGTAGAGGCCGGAATGAAATGCGCGTGGCCCACGTCAGGTTCCTCTTCCCGATCGTCGTGATTGAGAGTAACCGGTCTCTATTGACCATTGCAGCATATTTGCCATTTTCGAACGCGTTCTGAAAAGAACCGTGTTTTCAGTGTGTCCTATCGTCATTGCTAAAGTTGGAGAATGGATGCTCGTTTCTAACCTTGAATACAAGATAGCGTATAGTACATATATGTATAAGCTGCTAAAAGTTTCGCGTGATGCGAATGCAGTGACACAGAAAAACTGTTTATTGCTCTCTCTCTCTCTCTCTCTCTCTCTCTCTCTCTCTATATATATATATATATATATATATATATATATATATATATATATATAACGAAAAAATGTATCAGAGCTACGTACTACTGGTATATATAGTACCAGTATACCTCCTATATATTATGAATTTACAGCTACAGCTAATAATACTTACGACGTCATGTACGACCTAGGTAACCTAAAGAAAAACCAGCAGATAGTGAAGCCAAAGATGGTACAGTGAACGTTAATTGTGCTGCTCTCGCTAAGTACAGTGAAGTAATTGTAGTATTATTGAGAACACAGTAGAAGGACGACAAGACAAGTTGCCGCCGGCAGAGACCAAACTTGCGACCTTCTAATTCGAACATAGAAACCATCGTGAGAGTATACCACTAAACACGACACACAAGGAGAAACAGACGAGAACCGGCGCGTGCCTGTTCGCTCCGGTTCTCGTCTGTTTCTCCTTGTGTGTCATGCTCAGCTGCGCTCGCACGATGTCACGATGGTTTCTATGTCAACGCACCAACTCGCTCAACAAGCAACTCTTTTGAAGTTTTGACCATGTTATAATATAAGCTGCCGTCGGACCCAACGGCAGCTTATATTTTCACATGAAAGTGTTTCATGCCGAGATACACAACGGTTCCGATGACGTATTTCCGTCACGGATTTGACGTAGTAAAATATATATATAAGAGATTGCAACGAAAAAATAACAAGATGGAAAACTTCCGTATATACCGGGGCGTCGAACCAGCGGCCTCACACTTTGCAGCACTCGACGCAAGCCACTAAGTTATGAAGCGTACGTTGTTAAGCTTGCTAACGGCAAGCTATTCATATACATCATATACCATTCGCAGTCCTCAGAACTCCTCGACTTCACCATGTTTTCGTCATCAGCAGCAGCGAGATGGCGCAATGTGCTCGCGTTGGATGGAGTAACTGTATATGGTCCCTACCATATACAGTTACGTTGGGCGCCTCTCGTGTTTCTTTGAACGCACGCCTCCACGGGCATGGTATGTCGGTCTCTCCTGCGTGCGCGCTTGTCAGATCAGACACGTGATTCAGGAGAGCACGAAGGTCACTTCACTCGCTGCCGCGGCCGCGTTACCGAAAGAAGCACGCTGCTCACATACGACGAAGTAAGAATTGCGACAGTTAGCGCTTGTCCTGTGCATACTTTTGTGTTCACTTTGTGCGTCTTTAGGTTTGAGCATCATGCTTTAAGTGTCGAACTGAGGCAGTTGTTTGTCTGCGCTCGATACGAGTATGCTAATTGCGTGCCTGCTTTCTGCATGAAGTGCGCGAATTCCTAAAAGGAGGGATCAGCCGTGTTTATGTCCACTTTGCTGCCTTCTTATCAATACTACATTTACTTCAGTGCACTTAAAACAGCACGATTAACGTCCATTGTGGCTAACTGCGCGAAAAGTAGACAGATATAGAAGTGACACGTCTGCAGGGCTGACTTTTAACTGAGTTTTACCGTGAAAAACAGGTTTACATAACACTCGAAGAGAACGCCTCGTGACTGTCCCAACTGGACATGCATCCAACTCGCTCTGCAGTGCATGGTCCATCTTACGCTTAACGTCGCCTATACCATCCTTGGCTTTATTATCTGCTAAGGTACGTTGCCGGGCTAATTGGTTCATTATCTGCTGGTTTTCAGTCACGGTCGTGTCAAACAAAAAAACAGGCCTTCAAGACTCTCTCCCTTCATTCAAATTAATAACACTATCCCACCAGCTAGTTGCTCGTAATAATTTAATGACGCAAAAAGCGAATGTTGGGAGCAGTACATTATCAGCAGCGATATAGGAGAGCAGCGTTCAGGAAAAAGAGTTCGGGACAGACGTATGCTCCAGTCTGCTCAAACCGACGCTCAAGAAACGAGGACTTGTCTCCAAAAAAGTCCGCACGTCTTATAGTCGTAATCCTTTACAACTTTGACCCGCGAAACCCGAAGGATTACGTTAAGATATATACACGCGCCAAGATGTTTTAACGCCTACATTTCGTATTCGTCGTCGCGCTTTACTCACGACGCATTCGCTGTGAATCTGCAGATTATATATATATATATATATATATATATATACGCATCCAGCCTCCTAACCTGCGCGCTATGAAATGCGGCACTGGTCGTCAGACCTATAGGGCACGGCGCATAACGCTCGTTACATGTTTGTCAGGCCCCGGTGGCACGGCACGCAGCAAGACGACGCAAATCAGGAAACGAGAGGTTCGCGACAAAGCAAAAACAGAGAGGTGAAGCGGAACGAAACATATGGGACTGACCGTCTGGCTCGTGCCCAAAAGAGACTTCCATCTGCATGGAGTTGGCGCTCATATCGTTCGTGCATAACCGATATTCGGTTGCCCACGTGCTGGAAAAAAAAAGAACGCTAAGCAGTTTATACAGTATGTGGGCCGAAAAGTGGCGATGGGACGTACTTGGAAATAAGCGATTCGCCTAAGTGAAGAATTGGACTGGCTGATCTTTATACGCCAGTCTCACTATGTGCAAACTGTCTCTCACTATTTGCTTTGTGGCTGCTTTGCAGCAATAGGTTATCAGTTCAGCTGGTATTTTTAATTTTCTTGCTTGTCTTGGTCGCGCCACAAATATTTCAAGCTATGCGCCCACTGGCCCACCGTCTGCTCAAGCGTTTTGTATTGCCGTTGGCGTAATGAGTGATTCCTGTACCAAGATGTCACCAGCAGACGAGCTTGTTCGTAGACTCGCCGAATGTGCAATTTACAAAAGAATCGAATCGACGCAACGTTTACCATCACTTCGCAGACCACGTAACTCGCATATAGCGCCATTCAATTACGTGCGCCACAACCTCCACGTTTTGCGTGTCGATATAAATAGATTGTCACGATAATGTAAATTTCTTTGAGTGCGCGATGTATACATTCTGAATAATTCACTGGCGTTCGTCTACAGGGACAGCTCAGTTTCCAAGTCACTTGTAGAGAAACGTCACAAATCGTTGATGGCCGTCATTCTACCTAAAAGGTTGTAGTACTTATAATTTGCTAACTACTTTTCGCATGTGTTACTAAGTCATTAGTGTAAGTGCAGTTAGTAATGGGTAGTTTAGTAACCGTTACCTACCCTCGCCATTACAAATGCAGTTAGCAATGGTTACTAACGTAGGTAGTAACAGTTACTAACTAAGAAACATAAAAGGCACCTCACGAACCACCCGCTTATATAACGGTCCTATTTGCGAGAATTACCGCTGCGATATGTCATTGCATCATTATGCACATAATGTCATAAATGAGAGTAGCGCACATATACAACGACAAGTGTACTGCGATGCGTACAGTTCATATATACCTTTGGGGAAAGCAGCTGGTGCCACTGGGCGCGTATGCTTTGAATAAATAACTTAAGTTATGATAATTTACTTAGATAACGTGCAATTCTATAAGGTGCGCGAAGTAACGCAGCGTGGGACATTTAATGAAGCATATTAAGACACATTACATGTTTTACTGTTTTGCATAATATCGCCTCCACATGACCTAATAGACAAGACCAAAGACGGGTACTATAGCTTACATATATCGCCCAATTAACTTGAGTGGATCCCATGCTATTAGGTATGTCGTTAGATGCTCGTAATAATAACCTTCAAGGTTTGTTCAACAAGTTTGCATGCATGACAAAAAGTTAGTAGCCTTGCACAAAAGGTAGTATCCGTTGCAACCTCTATGTGTCTGCAAACGTGGGTAGTAAAATGTCGTAAAGAGTTACTAATGGCCCAAGATGGTTAGTAACAGCTGCGGTTATTAACTAGTTGATTGTGGTTACAAGCTTTATATTTTAAAGCGTGCAGTGCGGCACGCTTGTATAAGACGCACTTTTGTAGATAATAACAACAAGTGAATTCTGATAGCTATGTCCCACCGTGGTTCTGTGAAAAAGATGTATAAAGGGGCCCTGAAACACTTTTTGAGCATGGCCAGTAAATGCTGCCGATCGGTAGTTGAAGCTCCGGAGAACACGCGCGCAGCAGAATTCTGAAAGTCAACTAAGACTTGCTTTCTCTCGACAAATGACGCTACCGACCAAAAAAAAAAATCACTGCGTTACAGGCCAATTGTTCAGCCATTGTCTGATTTGAGCATGACGCACTCGGTCGTTGCTGGTCGTTGACTTTCCACGCGCCCAACGCGCGATCACGCTGAAAAGGCCACGCATTGGAATAAAAGAGAGAGAGAGAAAGTGCTCAAGGTCATGAACAAGCTTCGAACAGCACTAAACCTACTAAACTCGAGACTATACTATCGAAACCAGCATGACGGCGAGCGTCGATGGAGTTCAAAGCAACTAATTATCTGCTAGTTAGCTCAAAATTGACACTGTCTGCGTGACCATTTGCATAAACGATTTTACGTATAGGACACATTGGCGCCGCCATCTTGGGCTATTAAACGCAATTTTTTTTTTGCTGTATATCGCTACGTAACTTGATAAGGCCATGAAACTTGGAATGCCTAAACCAAATAGTTTTCGTTCGCATGCGTCTACTGTAGCACTGTGCATTTAGTTATTAAAAGTACAAAGTAGCAAGGCCCAGTGTGACGGCACCGAAACCTATCCATGAAATATTCAATAGACTTGATTTGGACCTCCATATGTGCACCCTATGTGCTCTTTTCGTCTCTCATTTCGCTCTCGATTTCATCCCCTACTGCAGGATAGCAAACTGGACGCGCGTTTGGCTAAAACGCCTTGCCCCCTTTTCCTTACTTTTTTTTATATGTTTCAAACAACGAAGAAAAAAAACCAACCTCTTGCGTTGGCCACTGATTCGCAGTGGACAAGGACGGCCTGGGCGGCTGCGACGAAGGCGCCAGCTCGGACTCGGCGGACCGGCCTAAGTTCCGGCGCAACCGCACCACCTTCAGTCCCGACCAACTGGAGGTGCTCGAGGAGGAGTTCGAGAAGACGCACTACCCCTGCGTCAGCACACGCGAGCGCCTGGCGGCGAAGACGAACCTCTCCGAAGCACGCGTGCAGGTTAGCATACTCCCTCCATATCGTACGCTCTTTCAAAAAAGAAATTAAAAAATGTCGTGAATTTCCTTGTATTGAACTATCTTCGTATGCTAAGCTTGTAATGGAACGAGACAAGGTCGTAGTTATAGGATTACATTACCTTGTCTGTCATGAGAGCAGATAGCCAACAGTCGGCCAACACCATCAGCAGGGGCTGAATCAGCAGGGGCTGATTCAGCTCCATTCAAAGAGCACGTTTTTTGAAGACGATGTTATCCTTGGCCTCTTCCACCTGCATTCTGTGATGGCATGAACGATTCTTGGCCGAATTTATGGAAAGATTCTGGAGGCAGCGCAGCCGTAACAGTACATGTACGTCGTTTGAGTTACACTATCGTACTTGCACGCTACCAAAACTCGCTACTGCCTATTAAGCAGTAGGCAGTAGCGCCTACTGCAAGCTGCAAGCCTACTGCTTGGTTGTGTTGGCTAAGTTAATGCTAATGTCGGTTAGTGTTAGCTAAGTGGCGCCGCTAATGTTGACTATCTGCTGCTATGACGCCAACGCAGTTTTCAATCTACCTTAGTCTAATTAATGAGCTATTTAGCAATTTTTAAAGAAACGTGATCCACTGCATACTTCGTGTTGATTGATGTTCTATGCGAGTTTGTACTTCCTGTTTTTCAATATCGGATTGTAGATTGTTTTTCCTTTGATGTTGACCCAAAAACTGCTTTTGAAACAATATTTAAAATCCTGAAAAATCCACAAATAAAAAATATTTTTGGTACTCCCAGAATGTGTACCGTAGAAGTTTGTCACCTGCTTCGCTAGCCAGTAATCCTAGCAAGCGATAAGTGAGCAATGTGAAAGACCGTGAGGAGAAAAAGTGGTCACAATAAGTGGGCTACAATGGGCATGCCAAATTTCATTCAAAATTCACATTCGCTATTATCCTCTTTAACTGGCGTGGATTTTGGATCTCCCTGTCAGTGCACGATTATTAATCTCACTCATGAAAGCGAAGTTTTTACTTCGAGAAGGCGCGTTCTCGCCAAACATCGCTTTTCTCCCGCTGCTTTAAGGTGCAATTCGGAGGGGACAGGTCGTTTGCGAGCTGCAGTCGTGTCGGTTGGTTCGCATGTAACGTTCCATCGTTATAGTTTTTCTTTTTATCTTTTTTTTCACTCACTGCCCCAACAGTGACATCCACGATCTATCATACCAGCGCTGCTACCTCGTCAAGAAAAGAGGGAGGCAAAGTCGTAAAAATGTCACACTCGTCGTGCCCCGGTGGGCGCCGAGTCAGCAAGCCGCGCGAGCTACGCAAAGAGCCCGCACTCTTCGACGAGGCCCAGTTCACACGAGCCTCATGGCTCCATCTATCAGCCGACGGAAGCACTCGGCAGTTCCAAGGTTCACTGATGGCGGTTAGCGGGGAAAGAGCGTCACGTTTGCTGCTTGCTCCGAGAGCGCGCACAGCCAGTGAGCCTTGCCTCGTTTCACGCCGAGTTCAAAACTAGTAGCAGCGGCAGCTAGAGGCGCGCACGTCAAGGTGGCCGTACGCAGCGGGACGCGACAGGAAGCGTCAATTGTTCTTGGCAGGCGGCAGAGAAAAACGGCCGCGCGCGTTCGTTCGCTTGTTCGTCGGTCGCTCGGTTCGTTGCCCCTGCCTTCCTTAGTCGGGTGCACCGCCTTGAACAAACCTGTTCCCTCCCAGCTTCGTGACCAGCTGCGGTCGCCCTGCCGAAGTCTCGTCGCTGCCATGCGACGTTGCGAACGCGTCACCCAACGCCGAGGGCAGGGCAAAAGGGGGTTCTGTCCTCGCGCCACTGCGGAAAGTTAAAGCTGTAGTGGCCTCTCGACTCATCGCCAACACCCTTTCCTGTCTGCCACGTCGGGTACGCGACGATGTGCGCACTTGGTGGCGCACTCAGTCCGTCTCGGTTTCCGGCGGCGCGCTGCGTCTAGGTCGCGTAGAACTGTTCGTATGCGCACGTAGACAATGAAGAAGTAACGAACATTAGGTAAAACAAGTGATAAAAATGATACATTTTAATGTTTATTGAAGTCCATGTCCAGGAATTCTTTACACACACCACCTTTTGCGATGCATGCCTAACAAAAACTTGGCGACAAACGCACGTGACAACGTGACAACCTCCTCGTTCGCTACGTATCTTGACCTTGGTACTCTAAGCTGCAGGCTGTAGTTTAATGCACTTCCTCTCCTCTCCTATTGATGAGCATCAGAACTCTTACTTCAAAGAAGGTTGTGACTTGTTTCTGAACGTATACTTTACGTTATTTACCAACACGACTTGCTGCAGGGCTGATGTCTAAATGTTTGCTTTAGTGCAGCGCACTGTTGCAAGTCAGAGAGAAAGAAGAGGCGTAGCAATTTTGTGATGCAGCCTTCACATTCAACCTCCTGCTAACAATGCAAATCCGAAGCTGTTCAGGGAAAGTTTGGACAAATAAGTCTCCTCATGGTTCCAACTTGAACGAATATAGTCAAGAACATTTGTTACAACGTCGTTAGTGATTTTTTTACCGTACTTCATCAATTGTCTGCCCCTTTTTATTGTCAATAGGTTGACTACTTTCATATGTAGCGATACGTTTGCAAAACTGGAGAGGGAAAACAAAGATGGCATAAATGTTAGGTAAAGTTTATTTTGCGAAACAAAACAATGTAACAAATTACCGCGACATTTGAGGAGGTGATGTTGAAACGAGGCAATGGCGCTATTTCTGTAGTCATCGTTAGGGGCATGGTTCAGAACCACGGTGTTATCGCTACTGGCATCTGTTGAAAAAATATCGGCTCTAATGATCGTGAACTCTCACGAAACACGCAGCACTATCGTAGTTGAGTACTTGCGCTTACGCGACATGACAAGGACTTTTTTTTTTTGTGAACCCTGAGGAAGTGGTATTTAAGGGAGTCGAAGGCCCCCTACAGATCAAGTCGGTGGCTCCGACCATGATGGGACCAAAAGACTTAGTAGCCACATTTCGAAAATAAATTCTTGGGGCAAAATAAAATGTTCAATAAAAAATAACTGTTGTATAAAGGGGCCAGAGGCACTGCGCGGTGTGGAAACGCATACGGCGTGTGAAGGCGGCTGTATTCCTCGCGGCTTGATTACCGCTACAGAAATAAAAAAGTAAACACACACACACACACACACACACACACAAGTCAACATAAACAAAAACAGACTACGAAAGACGCACACCGCTTTCCCGCATGCTCCCTCGATGTCAAGAGGACCGCCTACTCCTCCAAAAGCCTCGGTCCGTTTAGGCAAGCGCTCTCTCGAAATAACGCCGCGGTGTCCCATCCTGAGCCATAGAAGCCGCTTCCTCTTTCGCGATCCCGGCCGTGCACGATAACGACCCAAAGCCGCGCGTACGCGCACGTGGTAATGACTCGAGCAAACCAGGTAGCACGGGCATCGTTACGGGCCTCCGCGCGCCCTCGGTCCTTAGCGCGGCGCTCCTCGAGGACAAAGGAGTTGGTGGCGCGCGGCGCGAGCTCGGTGCTTCGCGGCCTAGGAAATGGATCCGCAGCTATATACGAGATGCGGCAGTGTATACCGGCTGCCGAAATGATCGTGGGACAAGCCCCATCGATGGAAGAAGCGCTCTCTCGTTCGCCCCTTTTCCACAACGTTACGCTGAGACGGCAGTGCGCACGCCGCCGTGGCGTATAGGTCTTCGTCGTGGCCTGTTTCCGCACGCACGTTCGTTCCGAAACGTCCATTCTTGCAGGATCTGCAGCTCCTCCTCGCAACCCGAGACATTTTGGTCTGCGTTGTTTCTTTATGCGTGCCGGCCCTGTTCGTAGCTTGCTCCTAGCGAAGACGAGCCCGTCGGACGTGGTATAGAGGACGCCAATGACATCGGGAGCAGAGCAGAGGTTAAAGGCTCTCTGTGCATGCGTTGCTCGGAGCTCTCTGCACTCGTTTCCATTGTGGGCATTTGAGCGCTCCGAAGGTGACGCGCGTCAAGCGACTCCACGGCGATTGTGTTTTGGTTCTTCCGCGGCGTCGGCGTTTCTTCAGTGGTACGGCACATTTGCCGGGGCACGAAGGGGGCGAGTGTCTATGGTACGAGTTTCCAGGGCGAAGCCGCGACTTGCAAGCCGCGTCGGGATAAAAACGTCCCCATTCAACGAGCCAAAAGTATTGACCGGTTGTTGTAGGGGTAGTCTTGTGCTTATTTAGTATGGCGTGTTGTGCAGGAGTGCCTGGACGTACAGTCATACACTAGTTGAGCTTGGTAACCGACCATGTAGCTCGGAATGAGAGCTCAAGTGGAGTGGATCTTGCGATACTATTCTGTATACGCGCTATTATATGAATTCATAAGACGCGTTCAGCGATGTATCTATGCGCCGCTACACTCTCTCCAGAAACAAAAAAAAGTTGTGCAACAGCACCTAATTCGAAATGACCTCGCGATGCAGGCTGCATTTATTCAACAAGATTACAATACAGCAATACGTGACTTCGTTCAGCAATCACAAACATTGGGTGACACGTGAAAAAGACTCTCGTGTTACTTTTCAAGATAGCCCCGCCGCGGTGGTCTAGCGGCTACGGTACTCGGCTGCTGACCCGCAGGGCGCGGGTTCGAATCCCGGCTGCGGCGGCTGCATTTCCGATGGAGGCGGAAGTGTTGTAGGCCCATGTGCTCAGATTTGGGTGCACGTTAAAGAATTCCAGGTGGTATAAATTTCCGGAGCCCTCCACTACGGCGTCTCTCATAATCATATAGTGGTTTTGGGACGTTAAACCCCACATATCAATCAATCAATCAATCAATCAATCAATCAATCAACTTTTCAAGATATACGGACAGACGTTGACGAGAAGATGCAGGCTTCAATAGATATGTCGTTGGAGCAAAAGTTTCGACAGATGTACTTGTCTTTGTCAAGGCATCAACTTTATTCCTTGAAGAATACAGTATATTTTTCGAAACGTTGGCCCCAGCGACATTTCGATGAACAGATCGTTTATCTTTTGAAGTTGTAGTAGCATTTGCTCATTATTTCTCAACTTGGTTGTTATTTTTTCATGAATGCTTGATTTTTGTTCGTATATAATCAATAAAAATGGCTTTCATTTATATATGTGAGACTTGATAGGACACTCGGAGATCGAACGCTCTGTGACAGTTCAGCCTTGAACCATAGATTCTACTTGATACCGGTTGGGTCAGCGAAAGCAGCGCTTAACAGCTGAAACACGGCCCCAATGTATCCAGAATACATGGTGGTTTAGCTTGGGGAATCGATTGAACCTCTAAGTTAGTTAGTTCTGAGTTCCCTCCAGCATACAATTCTCAAAGAGCACTTCGGGCTTGAATGATGCCTTTATATGCTATAGCTGTGCAAATTATTAAGGAGTTATGGCACGCGCTCCGCTAAATGTTCACGTTTTTTCATGTTATTTTGACGTGTTAACTCCCAACTAGCAAGTTAAAATGATGAGAAAACGTGGCTTTGTCAAACAGTCGGCAGAGTCTGTATGTTCAATTTCTACGCGGCCCTGCGGAGTCAAATCTGTAAAAGACTTTACACCTCTCTGAAAGAACGAAACGTATTTGCTTGACACATATGATTCGCAGTAGTAAGATGGAATCGCAGGTTCGGGCTAATATAATTTTCTTGTTTCATACGTTCTCACAACAGTTGCCGCACTGCAAGATGAATGCGATAAATAAATTCTCGTAGCTCTTGGCAAATTATCGTGTCAGATGAATCTTTGCATAGCAGATGACCAATAATATTATTAGGCTTCTAACGAGAAATTTCCTAATTGTATATGTAGTTATTGCCACTGACAAACAACGATCACTCATGTGTGTAATCATTGTTTCCGTAATCTTAAAAGTAAAACTGTCCCACATGACACAGCGGAACCCCTTTAGAAAGGCAACAATATTGTAGTGAGTACAAAGACAAAGCCACCGCTATCATAAATTTTGTTGTCACGCCTGTTTCATTCAGTGGACGTTGAACTAACATCATTACACGCTGTTAAAAGGCATCAAAATAGCATCTAGTACTAATGAGAATAACAGACAATGTCAGGGAAAGCATGAGGGATGTTATTAGAAGTAATTGTAATGTAAATTTGAAGAAATAAAAGTGGACAGAAAGATAACTTGCCACCGGCAGGATCTCTTCTTTTCGTCCACTTTTCTTCAAATTTACATTAAAATCACGTCTATTAACATCCCCTACGCATTAACCTTTAAAATTACACTTTGTGGCATCTAATGCTGAAATTTTCATAGCTAACTAATAAACATGGTTATTGGCATCTGCCACGGCACCAACTGCACGCAAACCGAACTACGTTTTAAACCAAGTTATTGGGCTAAAGGGATTGCCTGTTGCTGTTAGCACTGTACGCGACTATGAGCACAGCTGCAAGCACACAGTTGCAATTAATGATGCAGAGAACATAACAGACGTTCCTCTTTGCGATTATGCCCGTGGAGGCATCTGTGTTCACTTTGCAAGCATTAAAAACCTTTCATGTCAAACATACTACTGTAGTCCACGCACACGTATATATTCTAAAAAGCTTCGCCTGTAATAATGATAGTGTGTTTAACGTTTAGCACGCTACTGGTTCCGGCAAGTTGAAGTGGAGAACATGTATGGCTTCCTTTCAAGTGGAGCTTTGCACGAGAACACAGAAAGAAAAAAAGAAACTGCGCTGTGTATATATCTTTTGTTGTTTCTTTTGCACTTAGTTACCATGTTCTTGCAAAACTCTGCACTGAAATTTCACTAAAGTGGCACACATTTATAGTGCACCAATACACGCACACAAAGCGCAAGCAGGACCGCGCGCACATGCATGGTTGAGAGAGGCACGAGCGCGCGCGTCGTGTGCGTAGCGCATACCAACGCTTCGTTGTCGGAAAAACACAGGTGTGGTTTTCCAACAGACGGGCGAAGTGGCGCCGGCACCAGCGCATGAACCTGCTCAAGCCCGGAGCCGAAATGCCGGCCTCGCCAAGCAGCTCGGTCCCGTCCTCGCCGGAGCCGCCCGGGCCACCGGGCACGCCACCGCTCGCTAGCCGCCTGTCCCCGCCGCCGCCCCTGCAGCCGCCCTCCAGGCCACTGGTCATGCCGCGAATGGGCGGCGAGAACTCGGCCTTCTCCAATCCGGCGGCCTCCCGGCAACAGTCGGTCACGCCAGTGTCCGAGTACGCCGGCTGACCAGGACGGCCGGTCGCCACGGATTCGTCCCGGTGGACCACCGTGGAAAAGCTCAACCAAATTGGGACTCGTGAACGCGCCTCCGCCCATGGCGCATGTTACCAGGACTGTTGCTCCAGGCTCTCAGAGTGCTGCGAACCCGCTGTCACCCTGCGCCCCAGGTACGCGCGTAATCAGTTTGTGCGCTGCTCGGAGCATGTGCCTGCGTGCTTTCGGGCCAGCTCAACACCGACTCATAGCACCTGCTGCGGAAGGGTGTTCCACGGAGTGGTGATACGACCTCTCTGTTCAGGACGAGTGAACCCAGGAGTGCAGTGCAAGCGAAGATGTGACAACTGCTGAGGTCTTCGTGCGCTGTAGCCTGTGAAAGACATAATGACACGTTAGCTGTGGTTAGCCCGTACAGGACAACCTTGAGAAAGTGCATAGTGACGCCCAGAGTCGAAGATCGAAACGTTACGCCTCGATGTGGTGTTTTCTTGTGTTGTGCTTCGACGTCAGACTGGGACTCAGGCTTTGTTCTTTGATTGTGGGGTGCGCGAGGGACGATGACCACCTCGGTGCAGTGCGCATGCGCCACTCATGCCTGCAATGCTGTGCTGCGGACATGCTCGCCCTAGTCCATGCATCTCGACATCTCTCTATGGCGTTCACCAAAGGCCCCTTTGCGAAAAAGAAGACACTGTTTATCCTTGCATTTTTTTTCTCACACTCAAAGTAGCATTTCTTTGCGCAGAAGCAATGTGGCATCTGTACAGTTATGCGCAGTGATACCATCGCTATAACTGCTGCGTATGCATTCAGTTTTGATGAACCTTCGTATTTGTGTGTGTGTCACTTAGTGGCCAATTCACGTCCTTTCTGTTGCGTGCTCGGGATATCGAGACAACGATAAGATTACCCGCTTGACAATACAGTGACGGCATCACATTACACAGGCATACTTCATATCACTGAGAACAGTATTACGACCGCCTCATTGCTGTGATAGCCCAGTAGCATCGTGTCTAGCACCGATCTCAAGGCCAGCCATACTTAAACGGCTAGGTGGTCTTAACTGCGATTCAGTGGTATTTGCCGCCAGTTGTAGCAGTGCGTAATGGTTGGAGCTGTTTGCTTTTAATATTTTTTTCTTTAGCTCGATCAATATTGAGCTGGTAATCACACTAAAGTAATTTGTATAGCTCGTAAATTTTCCAACATGAAGCAACAAGGAGGTATTGCGTCGATCAAAATCTCGAGCAGCAGTCTTCATTAAAGAAAGAAATATAAGAGCTATCTTTTAGCGCGAATGACGAAAAACATAGAGCTGTAAGTATTTATCACTTCCAGTATTTGTTCGCATTATTCCTCTGCTAGCACTGTATGCAGACGATTTGTGCTTGAGAACGAAGGCTATCAGAAGAGCGGCTCGTTATGCAGGAGTTCAAAGCACTGAAGTTAGTCACTGAAACCAGTCAATGGCGTAAAAATTGCCTCGAGTAACAACGTGAGCCATTTCCGAGATCCAAGGCAGTGCAAGCACACACAGATTAAGCGGATAGCACATGTTGCCACCAGCCTGTTGATGTCCCAAAATTTGTTGCCTGTCTTTTCACGCCAATTGCGACGTTGCCTGTCTTTTCACGCCAACTGGTAATATAATCATGTTCCGAGCTGCGCGGCTTCGGTCAGATGCAGGTACAGAAGATGCCGTTTAGCAAATATGGAGTCGTTTTCGAGACTCTTGTGTCGCGAGTGCTGGAAAGAGTGACAAGATAATGTGAAATTGTTACGGTTTACGTGCGACAAAGACAATGTGCACGATGCCGGTGTGCACGCTCTGGCGCGTTTCTTGCAGCGTCCGCCGACTGCAGTGAGAATCAAAGTCCAGCCGGTGCTTGCTGCTGCTTGGGCGACGCGCGTGCAGTACTCACTATGACGACTCCGTCCACTAATTGTTTCACCTTGGAATGCCTTCTCTATGCTACGAATAAAATATTCTCATCCCGTAGTGTTGCCACTCATTCCTCTGTCAACAATCACGCTGTCGGAAGACACCGGAGCAAAACAAAAGCGCCCGAAGAACGATTCCAACAAAGAGCGATGACAAAACAGCTGGCTCGTCACATCAGCCCTGTTTTGTTCTCTTGGATGTGCAAGTCCAAAAGTTGAACGCTCTGACGTAAACGTAATGCAGTAGAGCTATAAGGAGTGTTCGCGTGACGAAAACATACGCCCTTTTTGTTTTAATATTCCCAGCTTTGACAGTGATCCTGGAGAAAAACGGATCGAGAAAGAGCGCCGTTTTTTACTGTGATGGTTGTGCAACAACATGGCGCATATTCGATAAAAAAGGAGAGTGGAGGGCGGGGTTTCACACAATTAACTGCGCATTGAGAGGTGCAGGGTCAAAACACTTTCGGTTTGTTTGCGAAATGTTAATTCCGGCATTAAACTAGATTTCTAGAATAAAGTAAAGTCGCTAATTAAGACTAATTACGTCGCCAATCGACGACGTAATTAGTCGGCTGTCTGACATCACCCCTTCTGACACATCTGCCCTTGATAGCGGTCTAGTACTGACTAGCGTTCAGTAAACTTGTGAAAGTCTTCTCTTTTCGGTCGATATCAGGACTCGACGTGGTTGAGATCTGTCAAGGTGTTACCCCCTTCTAGGCATGCACGTAAGCTAGTCGGTCAGGCAATATTCGCGAGATGAAAATAATCGAAAGTGGCAAAGCACACACGCAGGTAGCGTTTGGCACATTCACCAGTGTTTCAAATTAAATGCATTGGTGTCAATAAATTCGTTCTGCAGTTGTTTACTGCGTATTACCCATTGAAATAAGAGATACAAAGCCTATACTGCTGAAGATAACATCAACTTCATCTTTCCGAAATCTGCTAAAAGAACATCGTCAGGATGTGCTGTAGATCCAAGAAACAGCTTTAAAAAACTGGTAAGTCATGTTTTCCAGGCTTACTACTCTTATGTTTCCCCGCCGCGGTGATCTAGGGGCCAAGGTACTCTGCTGCTGACCCGCAGGTCGCGGGATCGAATCCCGGCTGCGGCGGCTGTATTTTCGATGGGAGCGAAAATGCTGTAGGCTAGTGTGCTCAGATTTGGGTTCACGATAAAGAACCCCAGCTAATCAAAATTTTTGGAGCCCTCTACTACGGCGTCTCTCATTATCAAATGATGGTTTTGGGACGTTCAATCTCACATATCAATCAATCAAGTACAACTCACATACTGCCGGTAGAAGTGGCACGTTGCTCGAAGGATCTTGCTCGGTGAACGTTGTTCACTTTGGCTCGACAATGTTCGACGTATCGGCTTCTAGGTAGATGGGCCAAGTCAAGCACATTCAAATCATTTGTAGTCTTTGTGTAGTAGCGTTGCAGCTCACTGTTTTTACACGGAGCTTCTAGCACTACGAATGAAGCGATCATCAACATAAAGCGAATATTCAGGAGCGCAATTTCTTCATTTTCGAATGCTGGAAGCAATCTCACGCTAGCAAAATGGAATGTAAAATGTTCGGGCAAGAAACAAGCCAGCGTTGGTACAGCGCTCACGAAGATGAGGACGAACCATCGGGACAAACGGTGACGTGGAACTGCATACGCCTCTGAACAGGCGTTTTCACCTTTCCAGTCTGCATTTCTTTGGCATTGATAATGACGCGCTTTAATCTTGCGTTTAGGAGCTATACGAATGGCTTTGTGACGATACGCAGCCAACCTGAGCGTGCGCAAAAGCTCAGCGCTGCGCTACGGTTTGATTCTTTAATCGATAGGTGGTTTCGGCAAAACATGCGTGACGAAAACGGCCACTAAATACGCCGGCGCGCTACAGCGGACTGTATTATTACGGGATTGGTAGTGGGGCTCAGCAACCTTTGTTGCTCTGTCGACGCTAGGTGTTGTTCGCGGGGTCACGTCGTTGTGCGAGTTGAGGACACCGTCGTAACCCAAGAACTGACGGCCACCTGTTGGCGGTGACACCACGACGAGCCACAGACAAATAACCGTTTTAGCGGCGAAGCTCCTTATGGCGTGGCTTGGGCGTCCCTCATAGTACGTAACCACCAGTGGCACATACCCGAAATAGGTATAACATTTGACCTCCAAGGTGGTACCGGTTGAGAGATTTCTTCTGTGCGTTGTTTAACAATAAAAAATAGTGCTTAATGTACATGCCAATGGCTGATAATTGGAAATGAGAGACAGGAGCATTTGGCTTTTAGTCAACGCGCATGCTGCGATCCCCATTAGCAGCCAATGGCATATACATTGAGCACTATCGGACAAGAAAGGGTTGCTACATTATACTCGCTGGGTGTAACCTCCTTAGTTTTAGAAAGGTTTAGCGAGCGTTGAGCCGCAGGGCCATGAATACAATGAACTAGTATATACCATGAATGAATTCGGGTTGGTTAAAGGGGGGAAGCAGATACGAAGCGCAAGCCGTAAGGAATTAAAAGCTGAATTCTCCTGTCTCTCATTTCACATTAGCAGCCACTGGCATGTACATTGAGCACTATCTGACAGGAAAAGGTTGCTACGTTGTACTCGCTGGGCGTAACCTCCTAGGTTTTAGAAAGGTTTAGCGAGCATTGGGCCGCAGTGCCATGAATACAGTGAACTAGTATATACCATGAACTCAAGGTGGTTGAAGGTGGGAAGTAGACCCGAAGCGCAAGCCGTAAGAAAGTGTGCGTGTGCCACCTCTCGTTTAGTCCTTGGAATGTCCACTGAATGGCGGTGCTTCTATATGGGGAATATATGACAAAAAGATGCGAGATGGTGGGGCTTGGAGTGTTGAGTAGATGGACGAACGGACACACAAACAGATGCATGGATGGACGCATGAACGGACGCAGGGGCGGTTGCATGAACGAACGCAGGGACGGGCGCACGAACAGACGCATGGACGGTCACACAGACGGACGCATGGACGGACGAATGCTTCGCCCCACTCTCCATCATTCACTCCGTGGATATGCTGCCATTTTTTTTGCCTTCTCCTGAATTTGCTGTCACTTACAGGCCTTACGATGACGTCCTCAAAGCTGCCATGTTGTCGTGTGCAAGTCGCTTGTAAATGCTACGACTAATCTAGAGCTGTCAATCTCCAAAGCACAGTGTGCGAATCGTACAACGACATGACCAACGCTTACGTCACTTGATTACGCCGTATACACAGGGGGCGCACTGTACTAATCATGCCCTGTAACACTTATTCTGATTCGAAGTCAGTCGACGTTGTGCACCACGGGAAATAAAGATAATATTTGTCGAGTAAGGTTTGGATACGTGGCCTATAATATCGGCACTGCTTGGCGTCGAAGAAAGGCGCTGACCGACGCAATGCCAAAGAGACGACGTGGATGCGGGAAAATTATTGAGAGGACGAGGGTCAAACGAACACGGAGGCAGCACAAACGTGAGACGACGTAATTTATGTCATTTATGTTGTTACATATATTCCATATGCAGATGATACGACATTCAATTTTATTTGATGTATATATGCCATGGCACTTGGTAACGCGGCATACATAATATAGCATATACATGTACGTATGCATACATTACACGGTAAAAAAAGGCCCGTCAGACCAAACTTTTATGATAATTAATGACATATTATTCATATGATGAAGATTACTTATATTGTATCATGTATGCATTCGTTAAAAACGCATGACATGTTAGTAATGGGATTTAATGCATAGACGTAATACATTCGCGCTATGTTTTGCATAACATGCTCTGCATGTCAGTAGATTTCGTTCGTTGCATTGTGGGCATGTCTTTCTTTATATTTGGTTAAAAGAAACACCCTGTCGACACGATGTGTTTAACGCTGTCGATTTCATGGCATCTTCGTCGTATCCTTATTTATGTACGCATACAGCCCATGTTAATTATGATATCAAAGCTAAAAAATCAACTACTGCGGCACCATGTCCCATTCTGCCACTCATTCCATGACATGACATTTACGTTATTCACGTCGTGACATGTGAATTCTCATTTACGCCAAGTTAATGAAACAGCCCCGCCGCGGTGGTCTAGTACTCGGTTACTGACCCGGCTGCTGACCCGCAGGTCGCGGGATCAAATCCCGGCTGCGGTGGCTGCATTTACAATGGAGGCGGAAATGTTATAGGCCTGTGTGCTCAGGTTTGGGCGCAAGTTAAAGAACCCCAGGTGGTCAAAGTTTCCGGAGCCCTCCACTACGGCGTCTCTCATAATCATATGGTGGTTTGGGACGTTAAACCCTACATATTAATCAATCAATCAAGTTAATGAAACAATTCCCAGAACACAAACACGCTCTCTCTTTCATACACACACATTTATTTATTTATTTATTTATTTATTTATTTGTTTATTTATGATACCTCAAGGGCCACATTCAAGGAGTGTTACATGAGGGGGTAGACAGTTCACAAACAGATGATTTGTTCGATGGCTTTTTTGAAATGGGCGATGCTGGAGTGGTGCACGACGTCAGCAGGAAGATCGTTCCATTCTATTGATGTTTGCACAAAAAATGAAGAGTGATGGGCAGTGGTATGCGCACGGGGTGGATAAACCGCTTTGGAATGGCTGATACGGCATGAAAGACGATGAGCTGGAACGATAACATTGTTTAGGTACAATGCATGATAAAATTTATGACACAAACACAGTTTTGAAACTTTACGGTGCGAAGCTAAGTTAACCATGTTAGCACGAGATTTTAGCTCGGTGACGCTACTGTGATAGGAGTAGTCCGAATAAATGAATCTGGCTGCGCGATTTTGGATGGATTCAAGTGTTTTAATTAGGGTGATTTGATGGGAATCCCAAGTGGCACATGCATATTCTAGCTTCGGGCGGACTAGTGTTAGATGGGTTAAAAGTTTAAAAGAAGGCGTGGCTAGTCGTAGGTTTCTTCGGAGATAGCCAAGAACGCGCTTTGAGTCATTAGTGATGTTCATTATGTGGGATGACCAG